CTGTATATAGAATTAAATTTTAATCAGATATAGCGATAGTTCAAAGTAAATACTACTGATCCAGAATCTCGGGTTACACTAAATCTAAAAATTTATCTATATATTATCCGTTATCGCTATGCGAATGTTTATTACGTGATACTAATTTTTAGTTGGTTAAGGAAGTTAAGGAAAGATATCAGGCACTGCGGCATAAAATCCTATACATATCTTTGATTTCACCTTGATAGCTACACTTTTGCAATGGCTCTCAAACGCATTCAAAAAGTAGGTGTTGATCCTAGAAGTGTAAGTTGTTGTCTTAGTGCTAAAATTCTCCAACCTTTGTTACTTTAGGAACTGGCAGAACTTAACAGAGATCCTCCAGCTGGGATTAGTGCTGGCCCTACCGAAGAAGATATATTCAATTGGACAGGTGTGAATCTACCCCTTTGTTTTTCTTTACTGTCAATTATGCTAGTTCTGCATCTTTAAATTTTTCTTTACAACTAGGCACAATTTTGGGTCCTGTAAGTAATTCTCTCCTTTACAAACAAGTTCTAAAAACTTAACCTTTAATGGATAATAAAATCCTTATTGCTCATATAGGCTAACAGTCCCTACAAAGGGGGCATCTTTAAGCTCAAGATTGAATTTTCTCAGGATTATCCATTCAAACCACCGTCAGTATGTGTCGTCTAAGTATCTTTTTGCTTTTGTAGCTTTTTAATCTCGTTAATGAGTTCTAATGTTAAATTTCTTTAGGTCAAGTTCATCACTAGAGTATATCATCCAAATATTGATGATGATGGGTCAATTTGTGTGAATTTGTTGAAGACTGATGTGTGGAAACCTGCTACCAAAATCTCTCAAGGTTTTTATATTCTTTGTTATTCTGTATTTGTGCAGTGAATACTATTTTTAAGCTTCTTCTCTTTTAAAAGTTCTCAAAGCCATCGCAGATCTTCTCGAAAACCCAAATCCTGACGATGCTCTGGTAGCTTCTATTGCAGAGGTTTATAATACAAACAAACAAAAATTCGTCAAAACCGCAAAAGATTTCGTAAAAAAGGCTCGTCTATTTCTTATTCTGGAGTATCTCTGATTTATTATTGTGATCAACTAAATTTATCTCTTTATTTTATTTTATATCTACTTAACAGTACGCTTCTTCATAAAGATTCGATACATTTCTTTAAATCTTTAATATATATTGGCTGAAAAAGTTGGACTAATAATAGCCATGTGTGGTATTATTTTATTTCTGATGTGATTATTCAAAATTACAGATTTGCAACATAACTATAGATTTATTATATCTTTCTGCAAACACTTATCCATAAATGTTCTGCGAGAAAATTGGTTTTTAAGACAAAATAAAATAAATTTTCTACTAAATGGACAATTCTTTTATTACCAGAATTTTTTTAAAAGAAGATGTAAGAGAAATTATAAATACAATTGAACCAAACGCCAAGTGTATTTGAATAATAAAATTTTAAGTTTGTAAAGAAAAAAAAATAATATATAAAAAAAAGAGTAGAAAATAATTATTCGTTACCAGCCAAAAATATTTTAAGATAAAATTTACCATGTTTGTTATGATGATTTATATGATCTATTAGAAAGTTTTACTTCAAAATTTAAACTTTAAGGTTGGAGTTAAAGTTTAAATTAGAGTTTTTTAGTTGTTAAATATTTTGAATATTATAGTTTATCGCTGTAGCGTTATAGCGTTATTCCCTGTGATAAATGTCACGATTTTGACCGATGCCGACTTTGGGGGTCTCAATTCGGATCCATTACCCCTACTAAAACCTGGGATCCCTAATTTCTCTCCTAGTTCTGATTGGACAAAATAGACTACGCCACTCTTAGTCTACCAATCAAATTATAAGATCAGGTGTAACATAAAATTTTCACACTTCGTGTTCTAACAAAAAAAAATTCCTTGCAAAATTTTGTTATAGTATATGTTCTATTAGACCTTTGAATTGTTTCCATTATTCGATCGAAAAGCAGGATTTTTCTTCGTCCAATAGGAACTAGGGGGAAATTAGTAAACCCCTAAAACCCACATATATTCTTATTAGCAATTCCAACCCTAAAACTAAAAAAAAATTGCACCCCCGTGACAATAAATTATATATACAGATATAGATAAAAAATACGTTATATCGAGGGAAATTATTGCAAACCGAATGTTTTATATATTGAGGGAAATGATTGCAAACGAGTGTTTTATATAAATTCGTTATATCGAGGGAACCTAGATGTACCGAAATATAGATGTAACGAAGAGAAACATCCATCTTCATAGATTCCTTATATCAAAGTTATACTATATTTGGAAAGACATCATTTGGTTATAGATTTTGCAATTTGTAGCCGGGTAAAGTACATGGTTGGTCTCTATTGTGGAGGAACTTGTATACGGCAGTTTAAGTTCTGGAAATATTCAAAATAACGGATTTAAGTAGATAGTCTTGATCTAAAAGTCCAGATATGGATCGATTTTATCATTCTACTCTCATTCGCACCCTTTGATCTAGTCAATCATAGGATTGAGGCTAGTATCTTGTCAAAGTGAAATATTCGAAAATCTGATTATCCCTCAGCAGTGTTGAATTGTTTGTTCTAGTCACATTAAATCGAAAAACGCAGACGTTACTAATTACGAATTATTAGACAGCAAAGTTGCAATTATTTAGCATTTAATCAATTATAATTACAAGCTAAAGTAAAAAAATCTTCAAATACACATTTCACAATATCATAATAAACTTAACATTCAATTTCACGAAAGTAAAAACATTTGTTAATTTCAATAAAGCAAGAACAGCAAAGAAAATAATATCGTGTTAACTTTAAAACCTAACTAAAAAAAAGTTGTTTTTTTTTTTTTTTTTTGTTTTTATATGAATGCAAATCACCAACATAATCGAATTTACACATAATTGCAACTGTACCAGAGGAGAATTGATCCATCAGAAAATAATTGTTAGTCTATTATGACCTTCCCGAACAACTTTGCATAATATTCACGTTACCAGCTTAATGAACCGATCCGCGTTTCAATAATAATAGCTATCATTATGCCTGAAATTCATGATCATGTGTGAGAAATAAAATTGAACTACGTAGCTGTCTCTTTTTCCTCTACAGGTGCTTGAACACCACGAGGAGATCTGGATCGAGATTTAGGATGACCATTTACTTGTCCTGACCTTTTGCGGCGTTCTGGTGGTGTGCGAGACAACGTCCTTGAGCGAGAACGATATCGACTCGTACGTCTTCTATCCTCTTCATAATCATATCTCCTGTAATCCGTTCTAGATCTGCTGCGATGTCGGCTAGGACTACGACTGTATCGTCTGATAAAGTATAAATCCATTGTATTGAATTTTTTTTTGTCAAACTGATGCTATTAATTTATCTTGAAATTTGTACCTCGGTCTATAAGAGTTTTCAGGAGTGTATCGACTTCGCCTTGGTGGCGAATACCTATAAAAATGACATCAATCAATCAATTGTTATTCTCCTTATGAAAATTTTTATATCGAATTACCTATTACTGTCTTTGCCTCTCATTTCTCTTGGAGCTGAAATGTTTGAGTTATAAAAAAATACAGACTTTTCAAAACAACCAATATTTAACGGGAAACACCAACTCTTTCGAGATCCACGGGCAAATTCCACAGTTAATTCTCGACCATGTAGAAAGACAGTAGCTGCACGTCTATATGCTTCTTCACAGTCGCGTTCATCGTAGTATCTTGTTAAAAGGGAAGAAAAAAACCGCGATTTCTTGTCAAGGACCGATGGAAAAGTCTTGAAAAAAAAAAAAAACAAATTCTTTGGTGATAAAACTTGAATTCCTCCGGCAGACGTAACACTTTGATCTTGCTTGAGAAGAAAAGTCTTTAAGGATACTCTATATACGCAAACCCTCTTGGCTCTCTTGTATAAAAATCTTTCGGTATGTATACTAAAAAAAGGTGTACCAAAGAATTATAAATATTGAACAAACTTTAAATTTATCTTTAAAGTTTAGTTACCGTCTTTGAGTCGGCCAAACTCTTTAAAGATTGGTTCAAGGTCTTCAACACTTGTGGTCGATCAACGGTTAGAAAAAACTACTCGTCACTAAATAAACAGTAATACAATAAATCTTACGTCGTCCGGCGAGAAAGTCTAGATACGAACAACGAACGAGTCATTCTCTCCGTGTGAGACATAACGAATCTATCTAACGTCAAAAACTTAAGTTGGATCACTAATAAATCATTCTGCTTTTAAAAATCTTGTATGTCACACATGTCACAGTTGATCAACCAACCAAATTTATCAATCAATTTGTATGCTTTTTTTAATAAACCTTTTAATACATATCAAGAACACTGAAACACACCAATGGTTTTAACACCACATGAGCGTTATTTAATAAAAAAAGAAAAAACTATATAGAAAAAATCATGCGAAAAATAAAAATTTAGTAACAAGTTATAAAAAATTTACAAACTTTAAAAAGCTACAGCAAATATAACAAATCTTTAACTTTTAATAAAAAAATATTTATACTGTATTTTACAGTATATTAATTAAGGGTTTTAAATTTTATTGCATATACAATATATTGCACCCTTTCTGTTATTTAAAAATTTTACTATAAAACCACTTTTGGGATTTTAACAAAAAAAATTTTTGGTAAAATTTTGATATAATCTATACTCTTGCTTTATTTAATATTAATTACTATATTTTGATAAAAAATTTTTTTGTTATACAAAATTAATAATTTTTATATAGTTTTTTTTTTTTACTTAGGCAGATCATGTCAGTATTTTTATTTAATCAAATCAGACTTCATGAAGAATTCATAAATATTAAAGTTGAAATCTAATATCATGTAGTTATTTTACAAAAAGCTAACTACTAACAGAATACCCACATGTAACTGGCTACACCAGTAAAATATGATCAATTAAAATAATACTCTCTGGGGGTTTGTCCAACCACTGCCTACAATAGGATATTGCCAATCTGATAATATCTTCTCATAGAGAAGTGAAAGAAAAAAAAATTTTATAAAAGAACACAAAGGTATAGAGGAATATATAAAAAAAAAAAAATAAAAACAAAAAATAAAAAAGGGGTATAGGAATTATGAAAAAACTAAACTAAATATAGGATTTTTTATCCACACTAGATAGTTACGATCAGCAATAATTTTTCACTGTGCGGACTGTGCACAGCACACAGAAACAAAATTTTGCACACTTTTTTTGAATAAATATGCGGATGCCGCATAAAAAAATTGGTATTTTATATACAAGTAGTGCATACAGTTGTAAATAATTTCTCATGTTTCTTTTTTTTATTTGCTACACAGAAAGATCTATAAATTGTGTAGCATCTGCACAATAAATTTTAATTGAAAAATTAATACTGGTTACGATTATAAGTCTGTGTTAGGTTTTGCAAAAATTGCATATTACTATCTAAACTATTCTCTATACTAATTTATAAAATTAATATGTATAAGCAAAAAACTCTAAAACAGGAAAAAAATTAGTTTCTTTGATACTGGTACCATAGAGAAGTCAGAAATTCATACAGATTACTATATTTGAAGTATGTAATCTACAGATCTATGTTCTATGTATCTACGTGTTTGTTGTTACAAGTAAAAAAGTAAACAAATATCACCTAATTTGATAAGTAAACAATATATCAATCTTTTGAAGAGGGTAAACTAAATCATTCACTTTTTACAAAATTTTTTCTAAAAAAAAAGAAGGTTAACGAAAATATATAAGGTTCTTCTGTAAGTTTTATAGTTGTATAGTTAGATTTTTCAAGATTATATTATCTATAGCGAAGGCCTTTCTACTACTTGTTTTTAAAATAAATTTTCTAGTTTGGGTATCAAATATCTCAAGGAGTCTACTAGTACAAGAAAGCTTAATCTTAAGAAAAACTATTTAAATTATACCTACTTCTCAGTGTTTCATATCTTTCAAGTTTTATTAACAATAACTTGTTCAAAGGTAAGTTCAGTTTTTGGAAAAAACTTTCTGGTTTGGATATCAAATATCTTGAGGAGTTCACTATAGTAATAACAAATTTGATCTCAAGAAAAACTGTCTAAGTTATGCCTGCTTCTTGGTGTTTTATATCTACAGGTTTTATTAAAAACTATTTACTTAGAGACAGAACTAAAAATAGTATATATCTTGAACCTTCCTATAGTATTTTTTTGTAGTTTAGTTTTTTGTTGTATTATTCAGAAGATCATCATAGTCAGAGTTTTGTATTGATCTTTATATAGTTAAAATAGGGGTGCAATATATTGCATATGTAATAATTATTAATTTTATTTTTATTATAGTTTTTTTAACTTTTTATATTTTTATTTTTTTATAAAAAAATATTATTAGATTAGTAATATTTTATTATAAAACAATAATTAAATAAGCTTTTTAGTTAAGAATATTACTTTAATTAGTTTTATTTTACTATTTGAAGTAACTATAAGATATTATTTCTATAATATTAAATTTAATTATATAATTAAAATATCTATATAATTAAAGTAAGTAATATAACTATCAAAGTAAAAAAAATTATGGTAAATAATTTTTGATTTACTTGTTTGTTTTAAATAAAACAATTATTAAAATTTTATTTCAATAAAATAATTTTATTAAATTTAAAATTTTTAAAATCTAATTACAAAAACTTAAAATTATAAGATTTTGTTATTTTATATATTTTAGAATTAGTTTATTTACTTTTAAGCATATATAAAATAATAATATAAAATCTTAATAATTTTAAAATCTTGTAATTAAATTGTAGCAATTTTAAATTTATTAAAAGAAAATTTTTATATAGTGCTTAAAGCAAATTTGTCTAAAATGTATATATATATAATTTTGTATTATAACTAATTACTTATATATGATTTTGTATTATATTTAATTATTTATATATTTATTAAATCAATATATTTGTAATTATGGTTACTATAGCTATAATTCATAAAGTCAATCAAATTTTTTATTTATTTTTTTTTTTTTTGGTGTCAAGGTGGCCTCTTGGCCGGCTCCTTTTATTCGGTTATAGTTAACTTTTACAATATGTGTTTATAGCATCTCGTATAC